GGGCCTGCGGCTGCTTGCCCAACCCGGGCACGTTCGAGGAGTGCCACCGGAAGTGCAAAGAGCGGTTTCCTATTCAGATGGAAGGCGTCAAACTCACTGTCAACAAAGGGTTGAGTAACCATTTCCAGGTGAACCACACAGTAGCCCTCAGCACAATCGGGGAGTCCACCTACCAGTTTGGGGTCACATATGTGGGAACAAAGCAGCTGAGTCCCACAGAGGGCTTCCCTGTGCTGGTGGGCGACATGGACAGCAGTGGCAGCCTCAATGCTCAGATCATTCACCAGCTAGGCCCCGGCCTCAGGTCCAAGATGGCCATCCAGACACAGCAGTCAAAGTTTGTGAACTGGTAGATGGATGGGGAGTACCGGGGTTCAGACTTCACTGCAGCTGTCACCCTAGGGAACCCAGACTTCTTGGTGGGTTCAGAAATCCTTGTGGCCCACTACCTCCAGAGCATCACACCCTGTCTGGCACTGGGCGGAGAACTGGTCTACCACCGGCGACCTGGGGAGGAGGGCACCGTCATCTCTCTAGCTGGGAAATACACACTAAACAACTGGTTGGCAACAGTGACACTAGGCCAGGCGGACATGCATGCAACATACTACCACAAAGCCAGTGACCAGCTGCAGTTGGGCGTGGAGTTTGAGGCCAGCACAAGGATGCAGGACACCAGTGTCTCCTTCGGGTACCAGCTGAACCTGCCCAAGGCCAACCTCCTCTTCAAAGGCTCCGTGGACAGCAACTGGATCATGGGAGCCACGCTGGAGAAGAAGCTGCCGTCACTGTCCCTGGCTCTGGCGCTCTGGGCCTTCCTGAACCACCGCAAGAACAAGTTTCGGTGTGACTTCGGCCTCACCATCCGCTGAGCCTGCGCCCTCAGATAGCGCCTCTGACCCTCCCCGCAGACGGTGCCCAGCCCCCTCCTTTCCCTCCCTCCTGGGGGTCGAGGGGCAGTGGAAAGGAGGGGCTCACCACCCCGCAGCTAAGGAGGGGTCCTGGGACCGAGGGTTCTGAGCGCAAGCGGTTCTGAGCGCAAGCGGCAGCGGAACCCAGAGAGCCTGGGCTGCCCCAGAGGATTCCGAGTCCAGGAACTTCGAGACTGAGCGCCAAGGCAGAGGAGGCCGCACAACCTCAGGGAGGAGTGGCATGGTGTCCCGTGGAGCCGCCCGAGGGACAGCAAGGAGCGCCCTGCTGCCAGTCTGTCCCTCCTGCTCTCCCCTTTACCCCTCGGTATAAATCATGTTCATAAGTTATGGAAGAACTGAGACATTTTACAGAAAAAAAAAAAGAAAAATACAAAACATATACGTGGGGAAAAAACAGGAAGAAAAAAAAAGTATAAAAATGAAGTATAAAAAGTAAAGCCATCAATAAAATTTTGGAAAAAAAAATAGTAAAGCCATATTAATATGCTGAGCTGTAAAAGGCTCAAGTCAACAACTTCTGACATTGCCAGTCTTACAGAAAACCCACTACTATTATGGACTACTGGACTAGATTGGATTATTTTGCTGAATTCATGCACCTACAATATTTAAATGGCAATGGAATACCCATCTCTGACAAAATTAAACAAAAAAGGGGGTACAAAGGAAAGACCATTTTGCATCTGTATATTCAAAATAGTTAGGACAGATACACAGCTACTTTCTCCTAATTCAATGAATAGAAAGATTTGTGCTAATAGTGTTTGTGGATAAGATATCATGTCTGCATCTTGTACTATGAATAACCACTAAGAAGACAACAATATGCAATATATTAATTATTGAAACTGTCCTAATCGGTTTTGAAACTGTCTCATTGCTATTTGTTTCTCAATAAAATTATTTTTAAAATAAAATTAAGAAATGATA